TAAATCAAAAGTCAAGATAGGGACATGTAAGCCGTTTTGACCAATGATCAATAGTTTCGACACAAAAAAATCCCAAAGTTGAAAAATCTAGATTTTGACCATCATTTATGCTAGACCCCAAGTGTGATGAAAACATTGATTGAATGGGCTCTTCAAGGAGAATCTAAAAATGCAAGAAATACAGGGTGTTCCTTTGAAATAAAAAAGTTGCTACTTTTCGTAAGAAGCGGCAACGCCGCAGCGCTGAAAATATTTTAGAACGATATTTCCCTCGAAAATGTAGTTGACATGTTCCAGTGTTTTTTCATAATCCGGTTCTGGCGACCTACAGAGCCTCTGTTTCGTTTTCAATGGGCCACTCTGTATAATGCACCATCACAACTAAAACATAAATGTCCTGTATTATACAGGAATGCTTATTACGAGTTACATACGCCGGGCAGAAAAGTAGTCCTCGGGCGGTAAAGTGTTACTTTACTCCCACAAAACCATATATAAACCAAACATATCAATTATGGAGAAGTAAGATAGGAGAGAATGAAGGTAAATCAACGCTGCTTAGTGACAGATAGAGGAAAAAGAGTACGGAAGAAAAAGTCCAGAAATAAACACCGAAGGTGCAGGGATAGTAGTGGTGCGCTTGCCCTAAAGTACAGGGTGACTCCGTATATTTCGACCCCTACCTACAGCTTCAACTAACTATATGAGGTAGAAATAAACTTCAAGAATGGAAATCTACAAAGGAGGTTGTCGCTATAAGGAGTTAGGACTAAACAGTGGTTTTGTACCAGTTTTATCCAAATTGATCATGCACTATAGAAGAGCAACAGTCGTTATTTTAATGGAGCACTGCTCTCAGGAGAGTTTAACCATGTTTTCTTGCATATGTGATACAATGTAATATATGGCCAATTCGAAACAAATAATACTAATCCAAGAGTTTTTTTTTCTTCAAGATATTCCAGGAACAATGAAAATTATTGGAGATTCGTCAGAATCTTGAAAAAATTTCATATTCGTTTGCAGGACCATTCACTTTGAAACAGATAGATGAAGAAAATAATATATGGACCAATCAACAAAAAGTAATACTAATCAAGTTTGTTTTCAGGATATTCCTGGAACGATGCAAACTATCTCTGATGTCTCAGAATTTAAAATCCTGGATTTGCAAAAAATCCCTATTCGTTTGTACGACAGTACAATTCGAAACTCTAGATCTGTGAATGTCATACCAGATAGATGAATGAAATGAAGAGATTTTTAAGATAAGTTTTCATAAACGTTAAAGCCTATCCATAAATCAACCCATAGTTCTATTTTTCTTCGAACATTCCTTCGTAAAAAAGCGACTTTCATCGATTCACTAAATTCATTTCATCAGTCGAATAATTAGTCGACATTCAATTATGTGAGTGTATGGAATCACGTCAGGTACCCTTACGAGGGGAGAGTATCAACTTTGGCGTTCGTAATGCCTCTCTACAAAGGAGGGTGTCGCCTTCAAGAGTTAGGTATGAACAGTGGTTTTATACCAGTTTTTTCCAAATTTATCATGCACTATGGAAACGCAACAGTCGTTGTTTTAATGGAGCAGTGCTCTCAGAAGAGTGGAATAATGATTTCTTTCATATGTGATACAATATGTAATAAAATTATACTAATTCAGGTTTTTTTTTCAGGATATTCCAGGAAAATGAAAAGTATTGCAGAATCCTCAGAATCTTGGGGGAAATTTCATATTCGTTTGCAGGACCATTCACTTTGGAAAAGAAAGATAGAGTAAATAATATATGGAGCAATCAACAAAACGTAATACTAATCAAGTTTGTTTTTAGGATATTCCTGGAACGACGCAAACTATCTCTGATGTCTCAGAATTTCAAAGCCTGCATTTGCAAAAAATCCTCATTCGTTTGTACGACAGTACACTTCGAACATCTGGATCTATGATTTTTATACCAGATAGTTAAATTGAATGAGGAGATTTTCAAGATAAGTTTTCATCAACGTTGAGTTTGTCATTCCATAAATACAAATCATAGTTCTATTCTTTTACGAACATTCCTACGTAAAAAAACGGCTTTTATCGATTCACTAAATTCATTTCATCAGTCGAATAATTAGTCGACATTCAATTATGTGAGTGTATGGAATCACGTCAGGTACCCTTACGAGGGGAGAGTATCAACTTTGGCGTTCGTAATGCCTCTCTACAAAGGAGGGTGTCGCCTTCAAGAGTTAGGTATGAACAGTGGTTTTATACCAGTTTTTTCCAAATTTATCATGCACTATGGAAAAGCAACAGTCGTTGTTTTAATGGAGCAGTGCTCTCAGAAGAGTGGAATAATGATTTCTTTCATATGTGATACAATATGTAATATATGGCCCAATTAGAAACAAATAATACTAATTCAGGGTTTTTTTTTCAGGATATTCCAGGAAAATGAAAAGTATTGCAGATTCCTCAGAATCTTGGGGGGAATTTCATATTCGTTTGCAGGACCATTCACTTTGGAAAAGAAAGATAGAGTAAATAATATATGGAGCAATCAACAAAACGTAATACTAATCAAGTTTGTTTTTAGGATATTCCTGGAACGACGCAAACTATCTCTGATGTCTCAGAATTTCAAAGCCTGCATTTGCAAAAAATCCTCATTCGTTTGTACGACAGTACACTTCAAACCTCCAGATCTGTGAATTTCATACCAGATAGTTAAATTGAATGAGGAGATTTTTAAGATAAGTTTTCATCAACGTTGAGTTTGTCATTCCATAAATACAAATCATAGTTCTATTCTTTTACGAACATTCCTTCGTAAAAAAACGGCTTTTATCGATTCACTAAATTCATTTCATCAGTCGAATAATTTGTCGACATTCAATTATGTGAGTGTATGGAATCACGTCAGGTACCCTTACGAGGGGAGAGTATCAACTTTGGCGTTCGTAATGCCTCTCTACAAAGGAGGGTGTCGCCTTCAAGAGTTAGGTATGAACAGTGGTTTTATACCAGTTTTTTCCAAATTTATCATGCACTATGGAAAAGCAACAGTCGTTGTTTTATTGGAGCAGTGCTCTCAGAAGAGTGGAATAATGATTTCTTTCATATGTGATACAATATGTAATTTATGGCCCAATTAGAAACAAATAATACTAATTCAGGGTTTTTTTTTCAGGATATTCCAGGAAAATGAAAAGTATTGTAGATTCCTCAGAATCTTGGGGGGAATTTCGTATTCGTTTGCAGGACCATTCACTTTGGAAAAGAAAGATGGAGTAGATAATATATGGAGCAATCAACAAAACGTAATACTAATCAAGTTTGTTTTTAGGATATTCCTGGAACGACGCAAACTATCTCTGATGTCTCAGAATTTCAAAGCCTGCATTTGCAAAAAATCCTCATTCGTTTGTACGACAGTACCCTTCGAACATCTGGATCTATGATTTTTATACCAGATAGTTAAATTGAATGAGGAGATTTTTAAGATAAGTTTTCATCAACGTTGAGTTTGTCATTCCATAAATACAAATCATAGTTCTATTCTTCTACGAACATTCCTACGTAAAAAAACGGCTTTTATCGATTCACTAAATTCATTTCATCAGTCGAATAATTATACACATAAAAATCCACTCCTCATAACAGAAAATACGAGAGAAAATACTGAAAATAGTAGCTCCTGATTCGATCAGATGTATCATTTTTGAGTGAAATCGATTTAAAAAGTATTGTTAGATCTTGCATTTTATAAGTACATAACGTTGCCAATTTTCAAATCATAGTCGTGTGGCTTTAAACAACTATGTCAGAAAGTGCGCGTAAAATAGGAAAATAATGATGAAAAACCATTTCAAATTTTGTGCTTTTTTTTTCATATGCAATACGATTCATTACAATGTTCTTTATAAGATGAGATAGCACTTTTTTTCTGTAAAGACGAGTGGATCTTCCGAGGGATTTTCACGAGGGGTAAACCGTGATGGAATTCTGGTGTACAGACAACTGGAATTCCTTGGAATTCCCTGGAATTCTTTGAAATTCTTTGGAATTCATTGGATTTCCTTGAAATTCCCTGGAATTCCTTGGGTGAAATGCGGTATATTCCTGGGCTACAAACAACTGGAATTCCTTGGATTTCCTTAGAATTCCTTGGAATTCCTTGGAGTTCTTTGGATTTCCTTGGAGTTCTTTGGATTTCCTTGGAATTCTTTGGATTTCCTTGGAATGGAATGGAGTGAAGTGCGGTATAATTCTGGTGTACACACAACTGGAATTCCTTGGATTTCCTTGAAACGTCTTGGATTTTCTTGGAATTCCTTGGAGTTTCTTGGAATTCCTTATGTGAAGTGCGGTATAATTCTGGTGTACAAACAACTAGAATTCCTTGAAATTCCTTGTGAAATTGATGTTTGGTATACACAATTTTGACCGCTGTTTACCCTCTGGTATTTATCTTCTCGTTAAATTCGTCTCATTATTCCCAGCAAATAAAATAACAATTATTCGAATTTAGCTACTCACCTCACCTTGGTATGTACCTACCTACCAGTTGTGTTGAGGTTTATTAAATGTTTATTTCCAGTCTGTTCATGTGGAATTTAAATACCTCTATTTCATTTATGAATAGGAAAGGAAAATTGCCTTTTCGAAGTCCTTTCACACCTTTCAACTACTTTAATGAAAGCGTCGAGACTACTCGAGACAGACGTTGCAAAGTGAAAAAAGAGCATGCTTGGATTGCTTGGAAAATCACACTGCAATCAATGTATTTTTAGACACTACAGCTAGAAGAGAAGACCACTTTCCTACCTACCTACTTCAAAGGCTTTTCGATGAAAGAATTCATTAGCTGAGCGAGCTCGCCTATCTCATCGTCTTCACACTACACTCTCAATGGAATAATGCGGTATCACAAAAAGCAAATATTAACATTCATGAGATGAAAGATTAGATCTAATATAGAAAATAAACAAAGCAGTAGAGAGCTTACCTTATAAAGTCCTGAATGAAATTGTATCCAAACGGCGAGTTCAAAAAACACTGCAAAACACCGTGTTAGCACTTTTCTCGACGATGAAGTTTGTAGTCGCGATTAGGGCAAATTTCGAATTAGAATATTACACTGAAGAATTAGATTCTTCGAAAATAATCCGAAAAGAAATCGCTGGACTTGTTCACAACACCCAACTCAAACGAAATGAAGAATGTTAATGACAGAAAAGAAATAGAAGAGGCTGACCTGACAGACAGAAGAGTGAGAAGCGTGTTGAATTATCAGCGCCCTCTTACAATCATCACTTCTACCACAGCTTCTAGTAAATAGCGCTCTCTACAGTGACCTGCGCTCTCTTTAGGTTGGTGTGTATGGGCACTCTATATTATCATCAGTTCTACCAACCTTGCACTCTCTGCATGTCAGCTCCATCTCGGGCGAGTAGGCGAAGATGAATATTCTTTGCAGAGAACTTCCACGACATAGAAATCTGCAATCTAGATTGAACTGTAAGCAAGGTAGGTGGAAGTCTGTTGAAAATTATAGAAGATAGATGGAATATCACCGTTCAGTATTTTTTGGGCCGTACAGGTATACAGGGTAGCCAGGTTTCTCGGTTGTTATTTGTTCTTGTTATTGAAGATGGACTTCGATTAACTTGAAATGTGTTCATCATTTCGGTGACAATTCATTATGGAATTCTTGTCTATGACCTACATTTGAAAAACTAAAGTTGATGCTGATATCTCAAATATTAGAAGAGTTGGTTTAAATTTCATATTTTTTTCGAAATCATTTTGAAAAACTGCCATGAGAATGTGAAATTCCTATTTGAATATTTTCATAAATGAAGAAGTTACGGAGGAGACATGAAAATGATCAAAATCAGTTTTTTTTTGCGTATAAAACAAAAACGAATAGATTTTATCAAAATATTTTTTTCACATTATAGTTGGCCTTGACAAACTCCACATGTGGTGTCATTTAACCGACCTCGTATCTCTCACCGTTAAAAAGATACCCATGGTGAGCATGGTAAGTAGGACACACTGTATAATGTATATTTATATAGAATTTTCAAAAATGCTCCAAAATCACTGAAACATTGAATTTTTATAGTGGGCTGATTAAATATTTCAGTAAAACAATTATTAAATTTCGAAATTATTCAGTAACTTCTTCATTGAACTCGTCAAATGGATGTCAATGTTTTTTAACATTTTTTATTTCGTTATATTTATTTCCCTTTGAAATGAAGGCTTGAGGAAACATCAGCAAACTATATATATATTTGTTAATAGAAGAGAAAGATCTATCGCTAGAGTTGAATATATACAGGGTGTTTCAAAAAAATGATTTGGACCCTACCTCGTATAGTTAGAGCTTTTGGTAGGGGTCAAAATATACGGAGACATCCTGTACATGATGTGATACACTTTTTCTATTGATATGCGGGACGTGGGATGCTTTGTTATTCATTGCTAAGACTCTCCTCTGGTTTGAAGTCAAGACTGAATAAGACTTGAAAATGACTATCACCAAAGCTATCACGTTTCGCAATCTACGGAGTAGGTAGGTATTTTGTATCATTTTATAGGTATACGCAACTTGCAATTCATAATTTATGGTATAATTTGAGATTTGCGTGGGCGTCAGGCAAAATATTCATATATTTACATCTACAAGACGTTATAGACCCTCGGTTAGACCGAATTGCCATATACAGGCTGGTTCACGGTGGATGCACATCAGATGTTTCTGGAGAACGCAACTCAGGATTATTCTGAAAAGTTGGTGCCTCAAATGATTAGTTGTATTCTATCGACCTAAAATATTCTCAGCATTGCGACATTGCCGCTAATACTGAAAACTGGCAACAACTTTGAGTTTTTAAATGGGACACCCTGTATATTATTCCATTTTCAGATTCTTCCGGGAGAGCTGATTTCATTGACCATAACATCGAGATTTTTCAACTTTAGGAATTTTTTGTGTCGAAACTATTCATAATTGGTCAAAACGGTTTTAATGTAGGTACCTATACCTATATCCCAGCATTTTATTCACTATCAATTGATATTTAATTGAAATAAACACAGGGTGGTTCAGAATTAAGATTTTTGACCACCCTATAGCTGTATCTATTTCAATTGAATATCAATTGATAGTACGTGAAAAGTTAAGAAATGGACATGAAAACCGTTTTGATCAATTATGAATACATTCGACACAAAAAATGTACTGAATTAAACACAGGTACCTAATTGTCTTCATACAGGGTGATTCAGGTTTTGAGGTACAAACTGAAATATGTGATAGATTTCATCATTTCAATTAAAAACAGTTTATATTAACATGAGTCCGATCTCGATCAGTAGCGAATCTAGAGGGGGGTCAAAGTTTAATTATTTTTTCAATCAATTAAAATATCTCGCTCTCTTTTGAAGATAATAATTTGAATTTTGGTGTGGTCAATTCTCTCTAGAAATTCATCATTTCAAGCAAATCTACAGGGTCATACGTTTTTGGAGGTATAGGCTACTTTATCCCCCCAAACTTTTTCAATTTTTTCCGAAAATCGAACCGTTTTTAGAAATAAATAAGCATATCCGTTCTGGAAAATGTTGTTTGTATCTATAGGTATTCTTCTCTTAAATTTTATTCTTGGACAAAATTAGTTCATCATAATGGAATACGCAGAAGAAATGATCATATTCCGCAAGAAGATTCTTCCCGAGTTGAATGCTATTTCATTTTTTATATTGAAAAAGATATTGGATGAAGAATATGGATATACAACTGGATGGGACTTAACCAGTCGTGGTGTTCCCGCTACTGATTCAGATTGAAATTTGCACATTGTTATTGCACGAATATGCTTATTTATATCGAAAACGGTGCGTTGCTAGAATAAAATTGAGAAGCAGATAAAGTCTTTAAATTGAACAAAGATGTCAGAGGTGAACAACGAAACAGTTTGGGGGGAATAAAAGAAGCCTCTACCATCAAAAACGTATTACTACCCTGTGGATTTTAAAAATCATTGAAATGCTTCATATTATGATGATCTAGAAAATATTGACCACAACAAGATTCAAATTGTTATCTTCAGAAGTGAGCGAGATATTTCAATTAATAGGAAAAAAATATTTAACTTTGACCCCCTGTATCTCCGCTACTGGTCGAGATCGGACATATATCAATACACACTTTTTTGATCAAAATGATGAGATCTATCACCCTTTTCAGTTTGTACCTTAAAGCCTGAATCACCCTGTATAATTGAAATGAATTGCTTTTCGATAAATTGTTCTCCTCTGAAAAGATTCATACTTTGTCAACCCTTTTTTATCGTTTTCAGTATAAATATAGTCGTATATGGACTGGTCAGTTGTTCGGTGTCAGTGTGTAGGCATATATGAATGTGCAAAGCAATAAGGCATTTCCAAGACTTTACAATCGATTTTACGCACAAACTGGTATATACAAAGGAAGATAAAAATGTAGCAAAACGACTTTTCTGAGAACAATATCCCAACTGCCATACACATTGTTGATATACAGGGTGGTCGAACGAAAATTTCACAATCCGATTTTAGGGCTTTATAATGAGAATCCTTCTTCGTCCGCAGCACATCCCCCGTATTTTGTGGTGCTCGCACTACAAGCATTCCAATCCACATGTTGAGTTTTACACTGGTCCATCGGATATCATCATTCGAGAGTGGCAAAATATTCTTGGAAATAATGACGCTCTGTCACTAATTTAGCTCAGTTTGAATCACGGCACGTTTGGACATTCCCAAAAGGGACATTATTCCCTTTCATTTGCTCTTTGTTTCAACTCGTTATCACATGATGGAAGTATGTTGTAACGGCTTTTATTCATGGGGCCCTTCCTTTGGCGCTTGTTTGGACAGAGACTACTCTAGTATTTGACGGGGGGGTTCTCGGGCGCCAGATTGTTTATGAGGTGGTTTACTCAACCTGCTCTGCACAAAGCTATTTTTGTACAGTGGCCCAGAGTAGCAACAGTGGAGACAGGTACAGGAGGTATACCTACCTCGGTACCTACAGCATAAACCAGGGGTCAATGTTATTGAATCGACCTGAAATGAATAAAGAGCCAAGGGAGTGTAGGCTTTAATTACAAGCCCTGGGTTCAGCCTGGAACACAGGTTGTTATTTTTAGTCTGGATAATTACAGGAATCAAAGCAAATATCTTTCAGGTCTCTGGTATTTTTAGGTTAGGCCTGGAAAATTATTATTTCAAACTATTTCTGACTTTGAGTCTTTTGTTTTTTCTTTCGAAATTTTATTGGACCACTTTGAGATATGGATGATTTTCACGATTTATTTCATAAAGTCTACCTGGAGAATCGGAAACACAGTTCCAAACGAATTGAGCAAATTCAATTCATACTTATCTTTCGCTTTTCTAATTTTTCAACATCGGAATCTTAGTGAGATTAATTTTATTTTTCTATCCATGTCAAAATTTCATTAACCACTGGCCACAGCCTGACCGGATACCAAGCACAGGGACACGGGTGCACAGGACAGGATTTTTTCAGGAAAAGAAGAAGAAGAAGAAGAAGAATTGACAGGTGACTTTGTCAGTGTCAGCCGTCCGTCAATAATAATCAGCAATTTGACAAATGAAAATATTGAAAATCATTAACTAAATTAATGGAACTATTCGGAACTGAAAACAATGACAACATAGAAAGAAGCAATCACAAAAAAAAATGTTTATTCGCAAATACAAATTTATGGATTCGTTACACAGATCGGGTGAGTATCGGTATGAAAAACAACAGGGTTAACAGGAATGAAATGAATCTATCTACAGGGTGTCAGGGTGAATAATAATGGTGAAAAATATCATACAAACTCACATGTGCAAGAGGAAATCACTATACATTAATACTTTACACTGGCTTTGAAATATGAGAGCACTAAGAGATACGCAAAAGAGACACAGGTGAAGAGTAGAGTGTCTAGCGTAGATGATAGAGACTAGTAAAGCAGAGAGTTGTAGAGTGCGAGAATTGACCAGCCCCGGGGTTCATCGCGGGAAAGAGAAGGACGTATAACTCGCTCTCGCTCAGATGAACCTTTTTTCTTGAAGAAGGAGAATTTTTCTTGAGGAAGGAAAATATTGTTTCTGCATAAAAAATGAGAAAACCTAACCTATCTATTTTATGAGTAT